GCGTGGATTGTATTAAGGCCGCCAAACATCTTCCAAACTTGGTCAACGCTAGCTGGTTTTAAACAATAAGCCAAGGGATTTATGCCAATCCGAAACAGGAATATTTTGAATGAATAAGAAGGGTTTTCATCATGGTTCCAATAAGATCAACTGACGTGATGCACCTGTGAAACCGCACAGAATGTCGAAATGTCAGTCACTGTCAAAAAAAGCCCTATTCAAGACTACACTCAACCGTTCCACTTTTGTTAAGTAGACTTACCGATAAGCGCCAGACAGAGAATAATCTTTCACTTTATGCCGCATGTTACTGATGTCCAATCCATCATCAGCCATGATTTTCTTGTAGTGATCTTTCATGTGGTTGTCTGGGTAAACAACATCGTAACCAGGAAGTGGAAGAACGACGTCATGAATGGTGTACTGCCCGGATGTTAGATGCTCTTCCGTTAGTACAGTGACCGCGGTGCGACTGGGTTCGGAAATGAAGTCCACCACATCTTCCACTTGGAGATTGTCTGCAATAACAGTGTAGTTAGGGTTTTTAAACAAGTTGACTTATCTCGAACAGCGCTCAAGCTGGCTTCATTGGCAAAGTTTCCGAGCGGGAAACATTAGCGGGTTTAAGCAAAGAAAATATTAACGTCCCAGACGTTTATAATGCATTTCCAATGTTCTTGATAAGTGTTTGGAATGCGATATACCACATACAGTAAAAAAACTGACAAAGAAAGAGTAGTCAACCGTCTTAAAGGTAGGCACTGTTGGGACCTTGACTAAGAGAGGTTATCAACTCCGGTGCGCCCATTTTAAGGAAGCTCACCTCCGTAAAAGTCGCACAATATGTGGTAATCAGTGCACTCTGTAGTCCTTTTCAAATTTTCTAAGATTAAAATATCAGTCGTATCGAGATTTTATTTGCGCCGCATTCAATTGTCATTTGAAGCTAAAGCAAAGTCCTGTGGTTGAATCGCTGGTTGGGGAGAGCATCCAACATCAAATAGAGGCAGTAAAATTTATGAAATGTGTTTTGGTAAATTTCAAAAAAAGTTCAAGTTGTAGTAACCTGAGATCAGGGTCAATTTTAGTTTTGTTTCGCTTTGTAAATAACATTCCGGCGGGCAAAGCGAAACGAAAAGGGATTTTTTAGCGGTAGCCGTTAGAGAGAATGTATGAGAACCGCTAACATTGCGCCTGATCTCAGGTTAAAGTTGTAGTCATGCAGTGACAAGACAAGCAACAAAATTGTGATGCACTTGCAAAGATGAAGTTTGACTGTTTTATTTCTCCTTCAACTCGTTTCTTGGACATCGAGGTTGACATTACGGTCCTATTTCTTGTTTGTGGTACAAACGTTACTGAGAACGTACCGGTCAGCTATTGGCCAAAACGCCATTTGCAAGATCGCGTCATTTTACTACTACTACCAAAATCCATTTCGTTTTTCCTTTCACATTAAATTTGGTAATCCCAGCGAGGTTTAAAACAACAAAAGCGCTCATTTGAACAAGAAAGCAAAACACTGAAGTATTCTGGTATTAGTAGTCGTAACAGTAAAATGACGTCATCGCGTAAATGGCATATTACTTTCCCCTGTCCCTAGTAACAGTCCCAGGGGTCTTTGCGAAAGCAACTCGACTCAGCTCTCTTTTCCTTTCTAAGGGCCTGTTTACATGGAGGTGGGGGGTAACCCGCTTACATGGGGTAACCGGCCTGTCCATATAACCTCTCATTTTAACGTGATCACGTTTACATGTTAGGTGGGGTGATCCGCCGCATCTTACCTCACCTACCTGGGGTCCCCCACCTTCATGTAAACAGGCCCTTAAGCACCGAATTACTAAGGAGAAGTGACAGATAACATTAAATAGAAAAAACAAAACAAAGAGAAATCGAACAAAAATGGGATCATAAACGAGATAATTTGATCAAAATCTAGTACATCAAGTAATAGAAAGTTTCTGATACCCACCACTGTTAACTGTACAATCAGTTGACTTCTTTGATGTCACTACAAGGTCTCCTTTGACAGGTTGCAATCCATAGTCCTAATAAAGTGTAAACAAATATGAGCCTTCTCCAGGCGTTCAGATAGTGAAGTGCGGCGTCATTAATTTGGCCATTTGCATGATGGCATCATTTTACTACTACTACTAGAATCCTTTTCGTTTTTCCTTTCATATTCAAATTCGGTAAGGTCTAATTTGCACAAGAAAGCAAACTTCCGAAGGATTCCGGTCGAAGTAGTAAAAAGACGTCATCATGAAAATGGCCTTTTGCAACGTTTTAACAATCTGACCGTCTTGAGCTGGCTGAAAAATATTGGCATTAACAATAATTTCCTGCTCAGCAGAGATCACAAGGTCGTTGGCCAAGGTGGCCATTCCATATTTGTTCCTCAACCATTTCACATAGCTGGCCCAAAATCCGTGTTTTCATTTGAATTTCGACGATGCGTATCTTACCGATAATAGACAACGTCACAAATACCTTAATACGTTTAGAGGCCATGGAGTTCCACACATAGCTCTGATAGGCATGAACATACATGAGTCTTGTGTTCCTGGAGATACTCTGCAAAGCATTGACCAGTCCTGATGGGCCATGTCTAACCAAACCCTGTAAGAGATCACTCTCTATACACTTCCCTCTGGGGATCTTTGTCAGAGTTTCTTTGGCATTCTTAGTGTCCTTCCAATGCTGACGAGCTGTTCTTAAGTCATCTGGTTCCCCATCGCGTGGATTTAGAAGGAGATCAATCGCTTCTGACCATTTGCTTAGAAGCAATGCAAGACCTGGA